AGTTACTGAGAGTTAGAGAAATCTTGGGGAGGAGCGGAGGGAGTTATACTTTCAGTTTTCTCTGGCTCCGTGGCTGCATTTCCTTTTTTATAATTTACTTTCCTGTGCGACCCCTACAACTTTCATAAAGTCATCCTTGTGATATCGGGCCTCTTCCTCCTCAAGCTCATCCATTCCCCCCGGATCCAAGGGGGAGCCATCTTCTTCTAAAGTTTCAGGCTTAGGGATTTCAGGTGGCGCCAGCAAAAGCGGCAGCGCAGAGGGAAATTTACTTTCAGGCTGTTCTATATGAGAGCTCTCTTTGGCCCCCTCAGGGCGGGGGTCTAAACTATTCTTAATGAGAATCCACAAGCTATATACATCTATGGGCACCTTGCTTGGACCGGAGGTCTCATAGCAAGTTTGAATGCATTCACCTACTCTTTTCCATATATCTACATCTAAGGTCCCTTCTTTAGGAAACCAAGGGCATAGTTCTTCAATAAAATCTAAAAAACGATCTATTTGGTGGAGGCCAACCTTAGCTCCTCAAGCTTTTAACATATTCTTTAACATTTGCACAAACAACAGTCAACTATTTCTTTGTCCCATATCTAACTTGTTCTGACTCCCGGTAGAGGCTTTGACTCATCGCAAACCTTACTTCCCATGCGCGTCCCACAGTTTCCACCGTGGCTCCTTCACGTTATCCCCCGTACTCAGGTCCCTGCTCAGGCGCCAGGTTATCTGAGCCAGCCGATATCTCGAACAGTCCTGAGAGGGGGTCATTAGGATTGAAAAAAGAGACAGAAGAGAGAGTTACTGGGAGGACTCCAGTAAATACTGAAGCCCCGAGATTATTTCACATAGCATATTTAAGGGAGGCACTACGTGCGTACAGAGCATCAGATCATACAATTGACAATATCATCCTCTGTCCCTGTTCTGTCCCTGTTAGATAAGCAGCATCTCCTGCTAGCTAAGCAGTTATACTAAGTATTCATTCTCAAGGCTGTAACTGTGCCTGGTTCCTTGTTCTCAAGAACTTGCTGTTCTTACCAGACTATGAGGATCTGCACAGGCATTTGCTTAGGCTGCAGAAAGTATCTAGTAGCAAGCAGCTCTCAAGGCTGCAGCAAGTGGCAGGCAGCTCTCAGCAGCTCTCATGAGGCAAACAGCTCTCATGGCTCCCAACATCTATATATATATTTATAGTCATGGGACGTGGAGTATAGTGTGGGAGTGGAGTCAAGGGATTTGTAATATATATGTATGATATTGGGGGGAAGTGGGGTGGTGGATTGGGGGAGGGGGTTGTCACTTTGAGGGGTAAAATGTGTAACTATTGCACTGTGTTGTACAGCTGAAACTAATTCTAAAAAGTGTGTATTTCATAATGAAAATAAATTAAAAAAAAGAAAACAAAATACATACGATGTTCATGGATAGGAATAATTAATAGAGTTAAAATGTCAATACTACCTAAGGCAATATATAGATACAACACAATTCCTATCAAACTACCAAGGACAGTTTTCCCTGAAATAGAACACATAATTCTAAAATTTATATAGAACCATAAAAGACCCCAAAGAACCACAGCAATCTTCAGAAATAAGAACAAAGTGGGAGGTATCTCGCTACACGACATCAAATCACACTACATGCCTATATTAATCAAAGCAGTATTGTACTGGCATAAAAACAGACACATAGATCAGTGGAACAGAAGAGAGAGCCCAAAAATAAATCCATGCATATACGGACAGTCAGTATATGACAACAAAAGCAAGAATTTACATTGGGGTAAAGATAGTCTATTTAATAAATGGTGCTGGGAAAATTGGACTGACACATGCAAAAAAATGAAAATGGAGAGGCCGGCCAAGTGGCTCCTTTGGTTAAGATAGCTCCCTGAGGACTGTGAGATCTGAGCAACAGTGGTTCAAGTCTCGGCCTGAGCTGACTGCTGCTGAGCTGCCAACAGGTGGCAGGAGGCTCAGCTAAAAAAAAAAAAATGAAAATGGACCACCTACTTATACCATATATGAGAACAAATTCGAAATAGATTAAAGACTTAAATGTAAGACCTGAAACCATAAAACTCCTAGAGAAAACATCGGGAGTAAATTTGTAGACATAACCCTGAGTAATGTTTTTACTGATATATTTCCTCAGGCAAGGGAAATAAAAGAAAAAATAAACACAGGATTACATCAAACAAAAGTTTTTTTACCGCAAAAGGCTACCTACTGAATGGGAGAAGAATTTGCCAACGATAAGTCTGATAAGGGGTTCATATCCAAAATTTATAAAACACTCATTCAACTCAACACCAAAAAAAACAAACAACCCAATTAAAAAATGGGCAGAGGATATGAAGAGACATTTCTNCATTAGGATTGAAAAAAGAGACAGAAGAGAGAGTTACTGGGAGGACTCCAGTAAATACTGAAGCCCCGAGATTATTTCACATAGCATATTTAAGGGAGGCACTACGTGCGTACAGAGCATCAGATCATACAATTAACAATATCATCCTCTGTCCCTGTTCTGTCCCTGTTAGATAAGCAGCATCTCCTGCTAGCTAAGCAGTTATACTAAGTATTCATTCTCAAGGCTGTAACTGTGCCTGGTTCCTTGTTCTCAAGAACTTGCTGTTCTTACCAGACTATGAGGATCTGCACAGGCATTTGCTTAGGCTGCAGAAAGTATCTAGTAGCAAGCAGCTCTCAAGGCTGCAGCAAGTGGCAGGCAGCTCTCAGCAGCTCTCATGAGGCAAACAGCTCTCATGGCTCCCAACATCTCCCCCTTTTTTATTTATTAAAGCTCACCTCTACCCAAGGAGAGAGCAAGTGACTGTGCCTGTCTTAGGCGTCCTTTCTAGGTTCCATCCTTACCCGTCATGGGCAGCTGGTCCTCTGGCGACCAGGGCCTGTCTTAGGTTGGATGGGCTAGAGCAGATCTTACCTGTCATTGGCTAACCAGCCCTCGCTCTGGGGAAGACAGGTGTGGATGCCATGCGCTGCCTACGCCTGAGTTCTAAGCTTTAGCTCATGCAGCTTGGATCGCACATCCAGAAAACTAGACAATACTTTCTTAATGAGTATAGGTAAAAGGCATAACAGCAAGAGAACACAAGCGTCAATAACTAAAAGTGAAGTTGCCAATTGAGTAAATGATCCTAGGGATGGCAGAGATCTCTTAAGACTCTTTAAAAATGTCTCCGCAGCTAGAGCTGCATCCAACTATGGAGGTTGTTGTACAATAAGTAATGTAACAAGATTTGTGGTAGGGGATACATAGGTAGGGGATAATACATTTTGTACATGAAACATTGAACAGAGAATTATTATGAATTACATTAAAAATACTATGACGAGTAATCATAAGAAAAACATAAGGTGCTGTAACATAGGCTTTTGCATAATACACATTAGGAGTTCCAGAAAGGGGGGGTGGTAAAAAGTAACAACTATATAATTATATATACATATAGTCATGGGATGTGGAGTAGAGTGTGGGAATGGCTGAGCAAGAGGCTCAGTCCCAAACGAAGGAGACGAGGTGGGCATCAGTGGTCTGAGGTGCTGTACTGCATGCAGGTGGGCTCGGGTGGAAAGGAGGCAGTAGCAGTGGGTGACGAGACACAAGGCCGGATCAAACGATCTGGAATCCAAATTGGAGTGTCTGTGTCCTGTGGAAATATACAAGCATACCCTCTCCCCTGTGTTAATAATATATCCAGTTCTTTTCAGGTACCGGTTAACAGGTCCTTCCATTTTATCAAGGCCTTAGATTGGCACAGGTTAGGATTTTAATGTTTATACATAGGTGAGTGTCGTGTTGTGAGTATGTCCTTTTCTCCTTCGTCCTGCATTCCTAGGAAGAAACATAGACATTCCTTCCCCCACACAAGGACTGAATCTAGTCCTTGTTAGATAAAACTGTCCATTATAAAGACGTTGTAAAGAATTTAAAAACTGTGAAAATTTGAAAAATGGATTTAGTTAAGGTTGGTATCCTTGGCACCCAAGAAATACCTATAGTCTCCCCCTTTTTGTTTTATTAATTAAGTTTTGAGAGATTGATGGGTATTGTTGACTGACCCCCAAAATAAAAAAAATACTTACAGTTGA